AGTTCAATTGCAGACCTGCTGCAACTACATCAGTATTTGTGGAAGAATTTCTGAATTTTTGTTAATGGGTTTCAGGCTAGAATCTGAATCCAAGAAGAAAATGTGAATTTATATGTGTGTAGATCACAGATTTGCAATTTACAACTACAGGGAGTGCAGAATTATTAGGCAAATGAGTATTTTGTCCACATCATCCTCTTCATGCATGTTGTCTTACTCCAAGCTGTATAGGCTCGAAAGCCTACTACCAATTAAGCATATTAGGTGATGTGCATCTCTGTAATGAGAAGGGGTGTGGTCTAATGACATCAACACCCTATATCAGGTGTGCATAATTATTAGGCAACGTCCTTTCCTTTGGCAAAATGGGTCAAAAGAAGGACTTGACAGGCTCAGAAAAGTCAAAAATAGTGAGATATCTTGCAGAGGGATGCAGCAGTCTCAAAATTGCAAAGCTTCTGAAGCGTGATCATCGAACAATCAAGCGTTTCATTCAAAATAGTCAACAGGGTCGCAAGAAGCGTGTGGAAAAACCAAGGCGCAAAATAACTGCCCATGAACTGAGAAAAGTCAAGCGTGCAGCTGCCAAGATGCCACTTGCCACCAGTTTGGCCATATTTCAGAGCTGCAACATCACTGGAGTGCCCAAAAGCACAAGGTGTGCAATACTCAGAGACATGGCCAAGGTAAGAAAGGCTGAAAGACGACCACCACTGAACAAGACACACAAGCTGAAACGTCAAGACTGGGCCAAGAAATATCTCAAGACTGGTTTTTCTAAGGTTTTATGGACTGATGAAATGAGAGTGAGTCTTGATGGGCCAGATGGATGGGCCCGTGGCTGGATTGGTAAAGGGCAGAGAGCTCCAGTCCGACTCAGACGCCAGCAAGGTGGAGGTGGAGTACTGGTTTGGGCTGGTATCATCAAAGATGAGCTTGTGGGGCCTTTTCGGGTTGAGGATGGAGTCAAGCTCAACTCCCAGTCCTACTGCCAGTTTCTGGAAGACACCTTCTTCAAGCAGTGGTACAGGAAGAAGTCTGCATCCTTCAAGAAAAACATGATTTTCATGCAGGACAATGCTCCATCACACGCGTCCAAGTACTCCACAGCGTGGCTGGCAAGAAAGGGTATAAAAGAAGAAAAACTAATGACATGGCCTCCTTGTTCACCTGATCTGAACCCCATTGAGAACCTGTGGTCCATCATCAAATGTGAGATTTACAAGGAGGGAAAACAGTACACCTCTCTGAACAGTGTCTGGGAGGCTGTGGTTGCTGCTGCACGCAATGTTGATGGTGAACAGATCAAAACACTGACAGAATCCATGGATGGCAGGCTTTTGAGTGTCCTTGCAAAGAAAGGTGGCTATATTGGTCGCTGATTTGTTTTTGTTTTGTTTTTGAATGTCAGAAATGTATATTTGTGAATGTGGAGATGTTATATTGGTTTCACTGGTAAAAATAAATAATTGAAATGGGTATATATTTGTTTTTTGTTAAGTTGCCTAATAATTATGCACAGTAATAGTCACCTGCACACACAGATATCCCCCTAAAATAGCTAAAACTAAAAACAAACTAAAAACTACTTCCAAAAACATTCAGCTTTGATATTAATGAGTTTTTTGGGTTCATTGAGAACATGGTTGTTGTTCAATAATAAAATTATTCCTCAAAAATACAACTTGCCTAATAATTCTGCACTCCCTGTATGTATCACTATTCATTGCTGTATTATCACAGACACAGCATGTAAATAAGCAACTTGATCTCATTTAATTGCAAGCTGATAGCAGACTGACTCTGATTTCAAAGATAACGAGTTTGCAAATTCATGGCATTTGGTCGCAATAACTTTTGTCTCCAGTCACAATTTTCCTGTTTTTACCAGCAGAAACACTGTAAGTGACTGCTGTGTAGATATATTTCAACAAGCACTGATTAAACTTGCAGAATCATTAGATTTGAATTTTCACTCTTCTACACTGCTCCAAGGCTCCACATTTAACTGTTGTCATATGCATGTGAATGTCTCCATCTATTCTGAAAGCATTAGACTGAAATTTACTGTTTTAACCTTACCTTTAATTTCTTGTAAGATGATCTATAATGTTATAGAACCACAATAATATACTTTACATACAGATTACCATTCTGAATTATTACATAGTGAAATGAAGAGTGATCAAGCAATTTGCCATTATTGCTGATAATGAACTTAGAAAAGATGAATGATTTAGTCATTTTGATCATTTATACTGCTCAAAAAGACAAAGATGGGAAGCCAATTAATCATGTCAGTGGTGATTTTTAAGTAGCCCATCTTACCCAGTCTTATTCTTGTCCAGCAGGCTGGGGGCCATTGCTCTGATGTAGGCACAGGTACAGATCAGGAGGAGAATCACAGTTAGCAGTGACTGGAAGTTGAAAATGGCTGACTGCAAGATGAAAGAGAATGATACATTTAGTACAGACATAATACAATATGTCATAACAATTTAAAAAAAGTGAACTCGTGACAGTTTTCTGTAATACTAATCTTCAGCTACGTGCAGAGAAGATAGCTGTTGTGCCAGTTGTTCACTTTGGTGCTGACCGACTGTGCAGAACGCTTTAGAGTTATTATATTGTCAAAAACTCAACTTAAAATCTCTTTTATTATAATCTCATATTCAGAATTACACAGTGAAAGTGCATATGTAGACTTACTTACAAAATCAACTACGTGCCTAGAAGGTATTATGACCTCCCTCACAATCAATATCTTATACAGTACTCTGATTTGCCAAAATGAAGACCAAAGTCCAAATGGACTCAGTTAGTCCTTATCATCAAAAGGTGCAACACTTAAGATTTTCACTTCAAAACTGTTTTAGACATTAAAAAGATGAATAACAAAACTAGAAACAGACATACCACTTATGAGAATAATTAACTGTTGCATTAAAACAATAGCTACTACAGTGTTCTACCACATATATAGGTCGAACAGTCAGTGAATATACCGAGCCCACAGTCCAACATAAATGGGGAGAAAACAAAATTAGCTCCCCAGAGTCTGTATTTTTCTCACACACAACCTGTGAGCCAACCCACTTCTTCTTGCTGATCACACTTTTTGTCAAACATGTTGAAGAATTGGCAGTCAATACATGAAACCTTGTAGACCACACAGACAGTGCTTTGGACAGCTGTGGACACCAGGGACACATGAGTGCTCTTATCCTACCATTTTTTAGTCTGCTTGGAGGGAACATTTACAGTTGGTGCACTTGTAGACATAGTTGAAAAATCCACACTGTCACAACAAATTGAAAGGCACTCAGATGTCTGCACAGATCGTTGCACCGATGTAAGAATTGAAGGACAGTCGAGTTATGAATCAAACTTAGTTTCAGATACTAAGTGATTTTATTTGCTACTGCAAAAGAGCCTTTAGCCTTCTACAGAACACTGTACCTTGGAGATTGGCCTAGATAGATTAGAAAGGTTAACTAGTGGAAGCAATCCTGATTATTTTTCCCTGGAAAAAAAAAGCAAGGTCGATCAATATTTATGTATTTGTTCATAACTCACCAGCAAACTGCAACTCATGTCCACATCCTAATCTAAGAAACAAGGTGTTTTGGAATTGAATCTGGTTTATTAAACACCCACACAGTAATTATCCAGTAATCTTCACCTTATATATTGCCAGTAATTTTGATCTTTGTATTCAACCATTTGAAAGAACTTTATCTACCACTGAGTTACAAGAGAACAACAGCTCACTCTTTTGTTCAGTTGGTGCTAACCAGCTAGTCCAAGCCTTTCATATTAGCTAGCTCACAGACCAGATTGGTAGTGCAGCTGCAAGAACCAAGACCGGAATTTGCGTTCATCTGCAGGATGAGAAACTGAATGGAAAAACTGCTGATCATATTGGCCAGTCTTTCGCAATGTGAATGGCAATATTTACCATGTGCACCTCATTTTACAATGCATGTGCACTTATGATCAAATCAAAGGTAAATCTAAAGGAAGGACTTTGTTATTAATTTATAACTGTCTTAATCTTATGGCACGCCAAAGCAACCAAGGGACTCTGCAATAGATTCTAATCCAACTCCATTGCTCAGGTAGTGAGCATGATGAGTTTACAAGTACATTTAAGAACTAACATAGGATTTAAACAGGGGTATTTAAAGTCTATACCTTAAAATAACTTCGAGATTATGAACTGCTTCTATTGCTGAATTTATAATATCCCTCAATAACTCAAACTGTAATGTTGTTACAGAAAATAAGCATCATTTTACAACGACTTAACTGGTGTCGTACACGTAATGTTTAACTTTTAAAAATGAAATGTTATATAATTAACCACGTTCCCTGTTTCTGTTGGTTCATCATTTCATCATTATTCATCATTTAGGCCCTCTTAATAAACGCTCGTCTTTAAAATTCTACTTTATGGAAACCTTGTGGAAATAATTAATTTCATTGGTTACATATTCATTTACGAGTTTTAATTCGAAATACCCACGCATGCAGGCAGTAGTCCATGCTCCTTGTCTAGCTACGTGGCATACGCCTCAAAACACTACGATGCTGGCACTCGTCGTATTTAAAAAATCAGAGATAACTTGACTTTTCTAGCAAACGACTCCCAATGACACATCAATGCGCGCACTCGATGAAATAAAAGTTTAATAGCATGAACGGAAACGTGACATTGTGGCTAGATTTGCTAAACTTTTAGCCTAACTCAGCTAACCACTATTAGCTCGGTAGTTTGACATTTACTGTATGTTCTACAAGCACAAGCTGCCATCACAGTTTATCGCTGATACAGGTCATATCTCCAATACTTGCGATAAATAACGCTTAAACGTCGCTGCAAAAGATCAAAAAGATCTGCTTTATCAAAACAAACTTACCATTTTTGTAAATGGGAATCAAAGCCACATCACACTTCCGCCTCCCTGGAACTTACGTAACGAAAGCGAAGTACGGTTTGCGTGACGTAAGGACGCACTGCGCTGTCGCTGATTGGCTCAAAGCACAAGAGTTGAAGGTTGAAACTACTGTCGAAGCTGTCAAGAGTGAGTGCTTCAATGATATCAGTTTCATAAAATAATTGCTTCATTTTCACATCGCAGTCGTTGGTCCACATAGTGCTAAGTTTTCGAAGAAGAATTTGTACTTCATTTGTAAGAACTAGAGGAAAATTCGAGTCGTCTATAACACGCTAATGACTCGGCGCCTTGCCATAGCGCCTATGCCACTGTGCTTTGTTCTATAATAATGCACACATAAAGTTATTTGAAGTCTAAGACGTCGGCACCTGCAGAGCCAGCTCGTTGCTAATGATAAAATCTATTCTGAACATATAAAGGAAAAATAGAAATGAACATTATTATACAATATTTAGATATTATACCCTTAAACTTGAGTACTAGCTTGAAAATACTTGAGAGTTGTTCAAGTCTGTAGACAGTAGTGTAGACTGTCTACAGACAAATGTGTTAAAACTATACTTTGCTAATTGGTATCATTCGTGGTGTGCTTGTCTTTGTTTTTAAAGTTTAATGTGCAAAAAATTACATTATATAGCTCATATTTCTCTCTTGGTGATGTAAGAGAGAAATTTTTGTGGTCCACTTTTCTCTCAAAGTTTTCACAATGATGTTCCCTCCCTCTCTAACCAGCCATGGCAGCATCTTAATTGCATTCAAACAGTGTTTCATAAATTTTCCCCCAGACATTTCCCTCCTCAGCACTCCTAGAAATTAGAAGAATAAATTTGTTTGCTCATTGTCTTAGACTGCTAATTATTTAGCTGTCTAAGACAATGTCTGCCTTCAGATGTGTTCCTAAGACAAAGAGATGGGCCGGGCTTACATGTAGGCTTACATTCCTCTTAATGTGGTCAAATTTATTTTCTTTTATATAGTTTACAGTGATCCATTTTGGCTACAGTACAATACATGCACATTTGATTACTGAAGTTAAATCAAGACTTGGTGTGGCCTTCTGTTTGTGAGATCTAAAATCAGGCCATATTTACATTTGGAAGAGTGAAACAGTCCTCAAGCTTTATTTTTTTTTAAGATGTTTTTGACTTTTGGTTATTTTGAAACGGGATACTGGAAGTGTTACAGCAAGCTGACATCAGCGTGCTTGATGTCTGCTCCGACCTGATCTGGCTAATTTCACCAGAATACAAAATACCTTTCTTTTGCAAACCACTTGTGTTGAGGTTTCTGTTATAAAACAAGTGGTTTACTGTAATAGTACTTATTTTTTCTGTAACCATATTATTTAGTTAGCAGAAAATGAACAAAAGAAAATTTGAAAAACTCCACTGCACGCGTTTTCTGTGATAATGGAGGCTGGCTTGCTTTGAACATATAATGTCTGCCTGCAGTAGTGGTTTCTGTTATGAAGAATCTGTCATGCCTTCATTATTCTTCCCATGGTTTTAGTGTCATCAAAACCAGCAGTAGGAGCACAGTTCTTAGTCCAGGTTCTTTCAAGTGAGTATGTTCACTTGAAAGAGAAGTAAATGCATTAACATACATTATGGCCCTAGTTACTATTCTTTAGTGGATCTGTGATTTTTTAGTTTCTTCTGTCTCTTCATTTTATCTTGAAGTGGCTGATTGATGTAGAGATCAGGGCTCCATTGGGACCGTACTTTTTGTTGCAGGACTTTTTTAAAATTCTTGTTAGTGAAGAAATAGTTGTTCTTTATGATTCTTTGGGGTTTAGGGTTATTTTCACAGTGCAAAATGAATTAGAGATCAGTAGAGTTTGGGCTATTGGTATAGGAAAACTATTGTACAGTACTGAATATAAGTGGTACTTACCGGACACACTGCCATACGATATTTTCCCAATACTTCACTCACGATATACTATTGCGATTTTTAACATTTTGCGATATGCAGTATTATAATAACATATATTGCAATCCCTTTTTTAAAACTGCTAATTATGTACTCATCTGTTTTATCTCATAAGATAAAGTTATTAGTTCAGTTATTTTTCAGCTGCAAAATGAGACACTGTCACTGCCATAAGACACAGGCAGTCTGCTATCAGTCTGCGGTCGAATGGAGTCAAGTTGGCAATTGCATGCAATGTGTTTCTGATAATACAGCAACTAGCTGCGATAAGTTGTCAAAAATCACAAATCTGTTGCTGTCGATATAGACAGAAATTTGCATTTAGCTATTACATTTGCACTCAGTAACCTTCCTGTGTTACAGGAATATAACCAGAATACAACCAGCTGGCAGCCAGTTGAGTTGAGTCCCCTTGAGTTGTGCTTTCTGACAAAAACTCATTCAAACTTATGGCAGTCTGTCTGCATTTATAAATTAGACAGCAATAATTTGCAAACCTTCAACAATCTCTCTGAGAGTGATTGCAGTCGGTCCAAGTCAGACTGCGACTGCAGGTTTGCCTCCTATCAGGCAATAGGAGTACTGTAGGTACTCATTATTTTGTGACCAATCTCAGCTTGTTTTCCTACCCAGTGGTGAAAAGAAAGCTATAATCTATAATAAAGTTCAGAATACATTTCTGCATGTAAGTGAAGGCGTGTCATGTTGTGCAACATGTCCTACTTTTTTGTTGTTTCCCATTACCACTGCATCACATTTTCCCCTTCAGACAGCAATAATATATGTTCGAAGCATCTTGGTAAATTACAGTACTTTTTAAAACCCTGGTTCTAATGCAGAGGCATCTATCAGCTAGCTTATGGGGACATTTCACAAAGTCTGCCTCTGACATGATCAGGGTGTAGCCCAGTTCAGACAGATGTTTTAGCTTTAAGGCCGTGATTTACTATAGTAAATATTATATTTTCTGTAACTGTGCCCAGTGGCTGAAGCCAATACCTGGAAAGAATAACGAACAAAAGGCCCCAGCCCCACTTACTGTTGTTTAGGGCAGCATTGCTTTAATCCCTAACTGGTCATAAAAGCAGTGGATTTGCCAAAGAGTTGTCCTTTTCGTCTTGAGCCTATTGTGTTGGAGAAAACAGGAGGAGAAGTCCAGTGAAAGTACAGTGAGAGGATGGGTCTAATTGTCAAGGCTCACAAGGGAGAGAGTCAGCTATCTTGGCTTTTTCTTTACTCCTTATGAACTCCTTGTTTAAGGCACAAGATGCATAATTACAGGCCCTCTTTGTGACTCATTGGCCTGGTACTTCCTCTAAACAGAATTAAGTCTTGCTGTTTGCGAATGAGGCAATCCAGAAGAAGTGACAATGAAAAGGTTGAGCAAAAAATTACAGAAGGAGTAGAAAAAGAACGTAAAAGCTATGTGTCGAATCTCTAGGGTAGTTTTAGTTGATGATTTAAGCAATTCAGATGATTGCCTCTGCTGGCTGTGTTACTGAACAGATGCTAACAGTGAGAAATCAGTATTAGCTTTGATGATTCTGAGTATCTCTCCATTCCTCACAGGCAGTGCTGTTTATTTAATTGAAGTCCTTCTGTCATTACCACAGGGTCACCGTCCCTGAACAACAGATGTTACAGTAACTAATGAGTAGCCGGGCTCACTTTATGAGGTTAAAGTTGATGCCTTCAGCTCCCTAGTCTTGGTTGGCCCCTTTGCCTAACCACACCCCTTCGTAAGGCACAAAGGGTCAACTTTAATCTTTTTGCACAGTTCTTTGTGCATGCATGTGTTTGTGTGTGTGAATAGGGTGTGTGCGTACCCCCTGCGCAGAGCATGTCTCATTTTGAATAACCTTGACCACCTGCTCTGTCAGCATATGTGGTGGGGGATACATGTCACATCATAACTAAAAGCACAATGTCCAAAGGCACTCATTTTCATTTTTTCAGACATGTTCAGCTTGGCTAACTGCCAATTAAGCTGTCTTGCTTTTTCCTCCGTCTCCACTCACTTTGCCCTGTATTTAAGCAGGGAAACTGTCCAACTCACCTCTCACTCGATGTGGAAGCAGTAATCATATGTTCTGACCTAGATATGCATAATCAAGTAAAAGTTTACTTGCAATCAAAGACACCCCCACCCCCCTTTTTTTGAGTTAATTACGTTAAAGTTATTGTAATCGTTAGACCAACTTTTTCACAACTAATAACAGGCTGTTTCTGGCATTAGTAGGATAGTTTAAGCTCCCATTAAGAAATACAGAACTGTGCAAAAGCGTCCCTTATTTCATATTGTGCTTAGAAAGTGGGAAATGGATGTAGTGATTTATTGAAACATTAGCAAACACGTATGAATTACAGCGTAAAAAGCAAAAACAACTATAACAAGCTTAAAAGTAACTCTGGTACGACCAACGACCAACTTATCTGCATCCATAATTACATTCATTTTGTCAAGATCTCCAACACTACTGGCTGAAACGACCCAAACCGTGAAAGAGTCTAGACTGTGTTTTACTGATGGATACTGACACTCCCTGCTGTACCTCTTTCCTGATCTCCTTCGTACAAACTGATGATGATTTGAACCAAAATTTGCATCATTGTTTATAAGACCTTTTGCCACTGATTTTCAGTCCAGTTCTTGTGTAATTTGGCATATCTCAGCATTTTCTCACTGTTTCCCTTCCTTAAGTATAACTTCTTGAAAGCTGTCCTTGAGAATTGGGGCCGTTTCAATAGTAGATGAATCGAGTGAAGGGCCAGATGCATCTCTTTGCTGATTTTTTCCCCCTATTTTTTATGGACATGACTTTCAGATACAGTTTTTTTCCCGTATAGCTCTTTGGGAATCACTTTTTTTTCTGGTATAAAAAATATTATTTTATGCCTGTCGTCTTTGACATTTTCTGTAAATTCATCTAAATAAGTGCGGATGTATTATGAGTTTTGCAACAGATTATGAGTACCAAAATGCCCAAACATGCAATTTAAAATCACTTCTTTCCTAACTTGCATATTATGTGTAGAGTTGGCATATAAAGACTGGACTGAAAATGAGTGAAAAAGCAGCCAATGTCAAAAAAATTTAAAAAAAAACTTTGAAAGACCTTCTGAAAGCCTGGAGAACTACTGCTCAAGATCACTTTGAAAATGTGAGTCTGGGTCCTTGGAAGCAAAATGTAAAAAAATGAGGGCTGGCTGGATGCATTTGCACGCTACTGTATAAATTTGATAATGTACTAATTGTATAAAACCAGTGAAACAACTGGTTTGTTTCAGTAATATTCCTCTATTTATCTTTAACAGCATGTAATTACTTTCCTGGTGGTTTCAAGGCAGACACAAAAACCTGCCAAAACATGTTAATCTCCGTGTGGTCCCACTGACTCAGAGAGACCCCCACTGAAGGCATACACAGGAACGTTTTTTTATTACCAAATCCAAGCAGTGAAACAATGAACCACATTGATGCAAAGGGAAGATTAACACAATCTTACACCACGAAAACAGATTGATTAGAGCACTGTCTTCGAAGGAGGTCTTAGGACTCAAAACTAACAAACCTACAAAATGTTATAAACACTCATAGGAATTGTTGCCGGAAAATTGCATTTTAATTTCTTCTTGTTTAGAGTGTCTGAATTTCTGTTTTTGGTGTTCTGCAGGTCTCGGATATGTGAGAAACATGAGCGGTACAGTTTGTCAAATTAGACTAAGTGATGATCCAGATACTCCGTACTTCCTGCGAGTGGACTGGGCCATAGACCTGGGTGCTGGTTTCACATTAGCTCTTACAAATGGCAGCTCAGCATGGATTGGAGAAGGTAAATATTTGAGATGTAAGAAGAATAGTTTAGAATAGATGAAAATTACCTTAAATTTAGGCTTAAGTGTAATAGAAAGACTTTCATTTTTTTCTAATTACCTAGTCTGAGTGGTTAGCAGGGCTGCTATTCATCAGGCAACCATTCATCCAAGCTGTCTAGGCACCTGGCCGACCCCCTTATCATATTATCATAGTGTTATAACTGTTGGTCTTTTAACAAGAGGGACAGACGTGACCTCGTTTCATCATCCTTCTTCACTCCTACGCTGCAGCTTACAGGTGTATAAAGCAGATTAAAATCTACAAGGCTTGTCTTTGTATATAGTAAGCCACTAGTGAGTGTCTGTGTGTGCCTGTGTGTGTCTGTACATGAATGCCCATACTCTGGAAGGACATCTGGAACATAACTGCTCTCTAGTTTTCCATTGCTGTCCATCTGGAGAGTTGACAGGTGGAGATGAGTTTGTGACAGCTACGTGCAGGCTTGTAGCTCGTCAGTATTTCTCTGTTTCATGTGCTAATTGGGACTTTCAAGCCAACGTTAGCAGCTGTGCAGCAGCTGATGACAGTCCCCTTGGTTTCTCTGCATGCTTCCTTTCAAATCCGCTTTCACGTGCATTCATGGGTTACTACATAATAAATGTTTACACTTCTTGTTCTGTAATCTGCTCCTTCCCCTCTATCCAGTTTCTGTCAGGTGTACAGCTTTGAAAATAATTTTTAAATATGAGAAAAATGCCTTTTAAAAGACAATAAGATGTTTGAGCAATGCTTTTTTTTGTCAGTTTCAGAGGATGATATGACAAGGGAAGCCAATGACATAGGAGTCCCAAGAGAGAGATATGTTGAGGATCTTCTTCAAGCCCTAACAAAAAGTGGAGGAGGAAGAAGCGAAGACAAGGAGATGTATACCTTTGGCCTCTCTCCTGATCGCCGTTGTCTCTTGTATGAGAAGACTTGTAATGATATTTCGGTAAGCAAAGGTTTTGTGTGGATTTGTACAGTGTTTGCTACAATAATCATTCATTATGTTTAGCATTTTACAGGGAGTGCAGAATTATTAGGCAAGTTGTATTTTTGAGGAATAATTTTATTATTGAACAACAACCATGTTCTCAATGAACCCAAAAAACTCATTA